CATTCACGAAGTAGACTTTTCATGTTTGAGAATACAATTCGCTTTTCGGTAAAAATTAGAGATATTCCTAAAGCATTTCTTGACGGGCCTCAAATAATACTCAAAGAACATTCAGACTGCTTGCACAGATTGAGATTATTTCAGGAGAATATATGAAAGATATATTCAGTAAAACTGATATCTGGTTTTGTACAGATCAGTTAAGACTTATCTCCCTCTTCCACCATCCAGAATTTCAAGCATTCGTGCCCATGCTGTAACTTTAAGCAACAGCTCGTATCTCCTTGAATACATGAAGCTACTGGAAGATGCACTCTTGCCCTGTACCAAGACTTGAAATCAAGTTCTCTGGGTGAGTATTTTAGCAGCACTACCTGACCTACCTGACATGTTCCACAGCTTGCTTAAGATGAGGAATGTCTCCTTTGTGAGGCTCCAGTAATATATGCACCCCTGTATTACTAAAGAAGGAGAGTTTCCCTCATTCTGGATTAATTTCTATTATTTGTTTATTTTTGTAGTTGTGTCAGGCACTTTGGTATTTTTTTTCTTCCTAATAAAGAAAGACTAGAAAGGTATTTGTGATAGATATGGTACAGTCCAGCAGCTGAAGTTCATTAATAATTGGAATGTTGCAGAGTATGAGGTAATGAATACTAATTACTCCTTTCATGTCTGACAGCACCCTGTGGACCAATACATCAGTCCAGACTTTAATTTGGTTCTAGTAATGGTTTCATCAATAGTACATTAATTCTGTGTTTGAAAAGATATACAGTTGAACCTGACCCACACAGTAGATAGCACTGTCATAAAATGGCCACAGACTGACAACAACTGGATAATTACAAATAATTAAATCCACTGAGCTTCAGACAATCCTAATTTTAAGTAAAATATATCTTATCGTATCAATCGACAGAAAGCATAGACAGGGAGATTTATCAACTTGTACTCTTTCCAAAGCAAATTTACTGGCCTGCATATTAGAGAACTTTCTGTTCTGTGAAGCAGCTTCATAAAATTCTACTCCTCCCCATACTGCTTACCAAGATTGTATCAGATATTTTGTATCACTTCCACCACTGTTTTTGAATGAAGACAAAAAAAGGAGACTCTCAGCTTCAGGACACTTCAAATATAGGTATACATTTACATTTTCTTCAAAACTTGGGTGATTATAGTGTGAACTACAGGAGGTTGTTATCTCTGAAAACTTGATTTTTTTACTCAAGTGCCTTAGCTAGTAGACAGAAGCTTAACAAGCTTATGGTGCTCAAGTTTTAGTTTAGTTCAGCTTTCTGGAGCTGAAAGCCTGCTCAGTGGATCTTCATGTATGTTGATCCCATGTTGGAAAGAACTAAAAAATGCTAATGTTTTCATTTCATTTTTTTTCTCAGAGAGGAGAAAAAAAGACGAAAGTTGTTAATTTCAAACCTTATTTGTTGCGGTACACAGCTCTATGTAAGCACAGATGATACAAAAAAAAAAAAAAAAAAAAAAGGGGTAAAATTTAGGTGCTATTTGTTGGCAGCATATGCAAAAATGGTTCAGAACGCACATACTGAGATTTGTTGAAACAAACAGCTCAAGGCATGGAAGTAAGCAAGCACTGGTTTTGTACAATTTTTTTTTTTTTTTTTTTTTTTTTTCTCTAGCCTGCTTATTCCAGAAGAGAAGCGATGCCAATGAATAGGTTTGGTCTGGACAAACTTTGATATTTAAGGTTTATCTGTGTATTTCCTATTCTGCCTCCCCTGATCCAGAGAGATAACTGCATGCAAGCATTAGCTATAAGAAGTCAATGTCACTTTGACTAGCAATGGAGATGATAAAAGAATAAATTCATTGCTCATAAGACTGCTGTTTGCACTCATATGAGCTGCTACACCCACTCAGATCCTCCATGCCTTCACAAAGTGGTAGTCAGGTTTCTTCAGCTGCAAGACTGAGCTATTCAGGATTAAGATGTCTAGAAATTTATATGCAAATGTTGTTTGAATGAACAACTTTCCATTCTCATGAGGCATGACTGTTATTCACACACATGCTCAGCAAGACAATTCCCTTGGTTTCTCTACAGGGATGGCTTTCCTTGCCTTGAACGTCTTGCCAGCTGTGCAACTCTAAGGCAGCATTTTCCATGAACAAGTTTGACCAACTTACACAGTCTGCCTACTGAAACTGCCTATTAACTGTTCCCTTCTGCACTTGTTTTCACCTGATTTGTTCAACTACTCTCTCTACATTACTTGCTGGAGTTTGTAAGTCTTTTCCAGAAGCTTTTAATTTTAAGCAGCAGGAAGTGAAAAAAAGGCTCCTCTGGAAAACGTGTTTATCCCTCCTTCTTCATACTGAAAAATACTGTTTCCCTTTCATTTCCCTTTCTTTTCCCATCCAAGAATTTATCAGTTATTTTCTGTTGTGGTTTAAGCTGGCAAGCAGCTGAACACTACATAGCTTTTTGCTCACGCCCTCACCTCCCAGTGTGATTTCTTCCCAGTGGGTAGAACTCAAGGGTTGAGGTAAAAACTACTTACTAAGACAGAAAAGAAAGAGAGAAATAACAGTAATGATAATAATAGAGAGATTATATAAATAGATCTATATACAAGGGATGTTCTGAAAGCAATTCCTCCCATTTTATTATGTTGGTCCATGATGTCAGAGGCAGATGGTGGTATGGCAGTAGAGGTTGAACCTTCCTATCAATATTTTGTTACATATTCTTGCTGTGTGACAGATGGCAGCAGAGGGGCAGTCTCACAGAATGATGTCTGACATGAAAGTGCATGTGAAGTAAAGGGGTGGAATTGAATTCCTCCATGCAGAAGAAATGGCACTCACTAAAGCTTATGGATGTTTGCTGAACATTTATGGAGACCAAACATGGATGTGAGCACAGCAAGTGGTGGGTGGTGCATTTTAGTGTTGGCAACAGTAACAGTGGGTCACCTCCGCTGGTGCAGGTTTCTACAGGTGCTGCATGTGAGATCTTTTTTGTTGCTGATGAAAATGCACAGCTAATGGTAGTGACTATGGTGAAAAATCATGTTATGCAGCTGACAGTTCACTTTATATTTATATACTCTTTGTAATTTTGAATTGAACTAAAGTGTTTGATAAGATTTTTTTTTAATAAGCTTGAGACATTTCTTGATATGAAGTTGTTATTGTATGATCAACATATTTTTATCTTTGTTTTCAGTGCTCTGATTGAAAGTCCTACACATTGTTTCTTTAGGCAGCACTTGCGCAGGGGAAAGCAGTTATTGTGCTGAGAATTCAGATTTTGGCAGGTCAGAGCAGGTATTGCACTCATTCCTGGGCTTCTCACAGATGAGATCTCAGTGCCTGCATTAGCTTCTGAGCTGTATTCATTCTTAACTTTTATTGAAAACCAGTTATTCCTCAATATTTACACAGGATTTTAAAAGTGCTTTGGGAACCACTTTTGAATCCTTTAATCTACTCTTTCATGATCCATGAGAATTCCAACAGGAAAACAGTATATTTCAAAATAACAGAGAGCTAGATCTTAGATGAATCACTCTGTGTATTCGTGGCTAGAATGACACATTAATTTGGTCAGTTCTATCTGTCTCTGCTGGTGGAATAAATGATTACGAAGAAAAAAATATCAGAAGTATATTTTATCTTTAGTAATTTCTTTGGAGTTCATTTTTTGCTATGCCATCCATCAAGCACTTCCACAAATGGTACCTATACCTACTGCATTATTTCAGAATCCGGACACAAACTTTAAATGGATGCATTTCATTAACAACAAAACAAAACAAAAAAGGTAGTTCTACTGAGTTTACTGAGTTACCTTTGTGTTTTTAGTTGTTACTTATACTCCTTGAGCCAAGCAAGAGCAAATATATAACATTTATTTTTCCCAGATCTGATCACAAAACCTAGAATAGTAGCAGTATTAAAACTGAGTGATTATGTAGTTTTTGCCTTTTATAGATGACAATCACAAAAACTGATTTATTGCTCCTGTGAACTGAGAACCCATAAAGTAAGCAGTGCAATTCTCTTAGTAAAGTTTTTCTTTCCACTGTCAAGGCAAACTAAAGCTCACCTTTTGTCAGATTTCTGCTTCTGTCTTTTACCTTATGTGTTGAAAGCACAGCCAAATGGCTCTGTATCGAGCTGTAGTGTTCCATTATCTCCATCTGCAGACAATTTTGAAGGCTGTGAAGAGGAGTTAGTAGTGTTACTGGTTGTTAGAACTGAAATCCATGTTGCAGAGCTGAGAGAATTCGGCTCCATCTAAGGAAGGCTGCAAGGCTGTGTGGTTGAATGTATTTAGCTGGACATGGCTATGGTGTTTGAGCGCAAACCAGGAATGGTCACCTCCAGTAGATTGCATTGCATTAGTGCATACATTATGCACACATCTAATTTTGTCTTTTAGAGTCATGGGTTTCCCAACACATTAAGTTATTCTTAGAAATTCATTTGCAGTGTATCATAATTGGCTGCCTTTTCTTCCTGGTCCTTGGTGAAATGCAAAAGTACATTCAGAACATTGTTTTGTTTAGTCTCTGACTTCTGGCTAAGGGGATGCTAGAAGTAGGCAAGGATACTAAAAGTTGAAATATATGCCCCTGACTCTGGAGGTTTGCTTTGATATTCTAAAAACCAATCAGTACTTATGTTTGTACAGATTTGCTCCATTCAGGCTTTATTTAAGGTTTTCATGACTTGCATTTCAATACTCAGTCATAGTAGTATTGCAATCACTTTGAAAATTGATTCGGTGAGAAAATGGCATCTCTTCAGTAACGGGTTCTTGTTCAACTGATAAAAAGTGAACCCAGAATGATTCATTCTTTCATGTCTGTTTAGTGCTGTACAATTTCTTGCAAAGCTATTTCAAATGATAAAAACAAAACAAAACTGGGAAAAAAAACCACCACTTAACGAAAAATTGTAAGAACTAACAGTTACGTGATAAAGTGATAAAAATGTTTGAAAAAATTTCTCAGCTTATGTTAAGCAATCAAGATAGGTGAGTTTACCCCTATGTCACCGACTCTTCAGCACAGCAGTGAATAAACTGATGTCTGCTGTATATACAAATGAAACTGCCAATTAAGAAATTCTGTATGAATTCTTCATATAGTTTTGATGTCTTCAGTTATTGTTTTGTTCCTTAAACTGCAGGCACATAAAGTTTGGTTTGCATCTGTTTCTTGTGCTGCCAAAATTATACAATACCCATCTTTTGCAATTAGGATTTTTTTTATTTCCCTCATTCTTGTGCAATTTATTCCTTTTCAAGTATATCCAGCTTGAAGACAAAAAAAAAAAAAAAAAAAAAGGAATTTCCATCTCATCCTTCACACTAAACTTGCTAGCCCTCCCTACAAGCCAGAGCTCAAGGCTCAGACCACCCTCGTTATTTTCACTGTCACCAGGGACAGGCTGGAAGAACAGCTGTTTTCTGAGGACCAGTTTCCTGACTTGGAAAACCATAAGGTAAAAAATGTATTTTGATCTTTCTGTTGCTCCTGAGATTTTAATCTGCCTATTTGCAACTGCTGTACAGTAATTATTAGCAACCCACACATTAAAGAGATTTTAAGGGTCAGATACTGTAAACTGTTGAAAGTGTTTCTATAGATTTGCTTAAATTGGTGCTTGCACAGAGCTGTGCTCAACCTAAAGCTCTGCTAGAAATTAAATTCATTGTGATATTTTTCCCACACTTCTTTCTACTGCTCAGTTTGCTTTGTGCATTGCCTTTAATTTACAGTACAGGATTAAAACCCTCTGCAGTGCTTTGTGCTTCAATGATCTTGAGCCAATAAGTGCAAATAAATTTCATTCCAGTCCATAAGAGGATATGATGGCACTGTTAAGACTTGGGGCACTTAGTTAATAAATCATAATTTATTTCTGCAAGATGCAGTTCTGTGGTTGTTGGCGTCATAACAAATACGCAGTAATTTATGAGCAGAAATACCTGAACAAATGATTATAAAGGGGAAATTGAACAGACTGATCTATGAGCTAAAAAAGAAAAAAATTACTTACAGATAAAAAATGAAAAAAAAGAATGCTTCCTATTTCTCTAACATATATGTCCATTTAACTCATGCACTTTACAAACTTTACCAGCAAAAGTTCACTGCATCTCCTTGCTGCTTCATGCTATGGCAAGCTGGTTCTGAGAATTTAATCATCTTTAGAAGAATGCTTAAGACCATGATGCAAAAGCTTCTGGCTATTTTTCTCTCCATCAAAGCGTAGTTCCACATGGGGCTGTATGCTTAGCACACCTCTGTCATTTTGGATTTTGGTGTGAGATTGGCAAAATCACAAGGAGACCAGTCAAGCTATTGCTCTTTTAGAAGGTCTGTACAGCAGAGCAGACTACAACCATGCTTCCTCACCCTGATTGCTGCCAAAGTGGTGTTTTTAAATCTGGAGCAACTCTTGTTTTTTTCCAGCTTACATACAGGTTACTGTTTGTCATCTCTGGCAAGATCCCAACCCTTTTGCATGATCTGAAAAAGAAGGTTAGGAAAGAGCTGAAGTTCTACTCTGTGCTGTCTGTGCTCTCCTTGACCATGACCTTGACATTCTTGCTTTAGTGTCCCAGAAGATCTCTCTTACAGAAATTAAATTAAATCAACAGATGTAATTAAATGAAAAATGCAGCTCACAGATGCTACAAAACAGTATTTTTAATGCTACTTTTTATTGCTTAAATGCACTGTTTTCCTTCTCTCTGCTACTCAGTGCTGGAGAAGCAGAAGAACCTCTTTGAAATCAAGCTCAAGCAGCTTGAGACCAAAATGCTGCTCAGTCTGTCAGCTGCCCACAGCAGCTTTGTAGGTGACAGCGAACTTGTTGAGAAATTTGAGTCAACTGCAGGAGAAATATATTGCAAGGTAATAATTGCTGAACTAATTTTAACATCTTGAATTCACCTGTAAAATGTGTATTGTTAATTATTTTTAGTAAATTACTCCTATGAGACAGAAGCAGTCAAATTCCTGTCTGTCCAGCAAGTGCTGTCTACACATAAGTTCACAGCTTCTTATTTATGGCAAGGAATTGTCACATAATATTTTTTTTTCCTTTTGATCCATCTCTTTACTTCATTAGAATAGTCTGGACAGCATCAGCCCCATCTACCATTACTCACTGAAGTTACACAATTCTCTCTCTTGATTTGGTTTCACAAAGCAGGAAGTGCTGGGTGTCCAGCAGTGAAGTCCAATGTATTGATTATTATTTGTACCAGATGATTACGGTGACAATATTGTGAGTCTGAGAAAGGACAATGCCATGTAACCTCCTGTTGGTTTACAGTACCTCCATAAAGGTGCCTCATTGCTGGCTGCCTCCATTCTGATGAAGCTTTTTGACTGTGTTTCTCAAGCTCACCTGCCTTTTTTGCAGCCATCCCACAGAGTCAGGGAGGAGGAGCTGTCAGGGATTCTCTGTAAACGATCCATTGTGGCAAATCTTCCAAACTATTGATGCTATGAGAAAGGACTCAAAATTACTGGCTTTCCTGAGCGAGAGGGATACATCTGCTGAGTTAATTAAGGAAGAAAAGAGTACTGCTGTCTTCAGCACTTGCTCATGGATTGTTGAAAGTTTCTTCGAAAGATTCTTGGCAGAAGTGATTCAACCCCCAGTGCCTCATGTTTTTGACAGCTTTGGACATCTCTTCTTAGAAGCCTGCATTCATAAGAAAATTGATTATCTTGCATGCAGGAAAGCAAGAAAATTCTGGAATATATCCACTTTAATGTGGGAAAACAACCAGAAGAAACCCTATTAAACATGGAAGAAGCTTTATTGATATGCATTCAGTCCAAGTGCAAGAACTATTTTGGTTGCTATAGTTTTGTAGCCTACTTCTACAAAATTGAAATTTCCATCAAAATAATAATGAATCCATTCCACTGCTAACATAAAAAAAAAAAAAAAACCAAAAAAAAACAAAAAAAACAACTTACCACCACCAAAAAATTAAAGAAGCAACTCAGGAGTGGCAAATTTCCCAAAGGTTTGTGACCGCTTGCAGTCTGAAGAGCGCCTAGAAAGATGATGTGGACAGGTGTGCATGACTTGTACTTCTGCCTTTTGAGACATAAAATGGATACTTGAAGATAATTAGATGGAATTCAGAAATAATTACTTCTTTTGTAGTGCAGTGTAAAATAATTTGTAGCCAAGTTTATGTAAAGTTATCTTCAGTGCTCAAGATTTATATTTTTGCTTATGTTCCCCTAATCTAAGGAAAAATAAGTGCTGATATCTGTTAGCTCATTTTAAAAATTAGGTAAATTTACCATTCAGCACATAAATGAACAACAATTCTGTATTCTGCAAAAATATATGAGTCAGGTTGAGTTTGATTTTCAAGGTGATTTTAAGAGTAAAGGTAAGTTCAATTGCATGTGTGTGAAAAAGTGGTTTTGGAAAAATCTGTCAAAATCTTTTATAACAAATATTTCTGAATACCATTCTATCTGCAGTAGATTTTAACCTAGTGTTTTAAAGCAACTTTAAACCAAGATGTAAATTCTTATGTCAGAGATTCAGAAAAAGCAGCCATAGGAGTCCTTGTAGCTCTGAGCTCCCTACTCAGTGAAACTTTGAGTGCTGAATACTTTAAGGCTGAAGTGGCTCTGAACCAAGTCTGATGGCCTTTTTCAATTTTTGTACACTGTCAAGATTCTCCTAAGAAATAAAGAGGTAGAAGTACTTGAATTGGATTTCCTTCTTTGATTCAGAGTTGAATGCACTTACCAGAGTCCTGTTGACTTCCTAAGTGCTCAGTCATGAAGTGCCATTAGATTAGATTGTGAAAATTGCTTTTTAGTTCTAAATCATTTTTTATGTTATTTCTGGAGACATGCTACAACCAGACAATCTCAGATAAAGTCATACATTTCAAAGGACTTTGTGGTAGAAATAGTGATGCTTTCAAAGAGTTGTCTTTCCCTTTTGAATGTATTTTTCCTCAGCCATTGTGTATTGTGAAGAAATCCAGTTATACTATAATTTGTGTCCTAGAAAGATATCACTGATCTTCATAGTGCTTCTTACTACATTAAATGTTCCACACAAGGTTTCTACCTTGGTATATCTTAATGTTTAACAATAAGGAGATGGTAAAGCAATGCAGGCAAAAATCAAGTATTAAAAATAATAGTATTTGTGGATGTATGATTTAGTATCTTAAGGTACACCTTGAGTCTTCTGCAATTGGTTAAACTAAACTTTTTTTACATATTCCTGGAAGTATCAATATTTGTTTTCTCTTTTCATCCTTCCCACAGAAAGAAAACATAGGAAAAACTTGTTTATCAGAACTGGCTGTCCAGAGAGGTTGTTGTCTCCTGGATGTTTTGCTGCGTAACCTACTCTAGAGAACTTGCTTTAGGAGGCTTGGACTAGATGATCTCCACAGTTCCCTTCCAACCCCCAAGATTCTTTGATTCTATGAAAGTGTGTCATCTACATTTCTGCCTTTGGTATTTTTCTAGGCTATGGCAGTGATGGATGCATTCAAGAGGTTAGATAAAGATATTGAAGTATCCACCTAGAGGGGGAAAAAGTGAGTGGACTCAAAAATGTCCAAAAAAGGAAAAGCTCTCCTGGGAATGGAAACACAAAACTCTCTTCAGAAACTAATCATACTGGTGGCAATCCATCCGGAAAGAATGACATATGCTCATAGGTATGAAATCTGAGGACCTTTGCCAGGTGAGTATGTGTGAGAGTAGCTTGTATGTAAATACAAGGAGAAAAAAAAAGATTTAAGAAGTAGGCAAAGAACTTATAAAACTGGGTGATTGCCCAGAATTTGAAATAAACTCCTGTGGCCATTCCCAGACTGTTCTGCTGGTGAAAGTTTACTAACAGGTGGTTTGTTGAGACATGAGTTGTGGCATGTTTGGAGATACGTGTTTGTGATTTCTTTTTTAAAATTCAGTATATTTTTTTGAAAAATTTTGTTCTTCAGCAAAGATTCAATCTGTTCTTATCTCAGTTACTTTCTAGTTGTACTGTTTTAATCTTCTGGTCCTAAGTGGTGGTCTCATAGACCTGATCCTTCACACCACAGCATCACTATTCTTATCCATTTAGATGCCTTCTGAGAAAGCAGTTTTTCTGTCCTTGGTGTTTATCGTGCCCAAGTGCCCTGGATTTACAAGACAACATTGCCTGCATTTATTGACTTCTTTGATTCTGTAACTGAAGAAGTCCTTTTCAGTTAAAAGTTCCAGTTTTCTGTGATGTGGTCTCTATTCCACTGAGAAAGAGATCACCATCTGGCTATTTTTTTGATAGCAATTCACTTTCCTGACACTGTCCTTAATGAAACTGCTTAGGCCATCATTATCAGATTTCAAGTTCAAGAATAGTGAGGGCTTAAAGTCTAAATCAGGGAACATTTTTTATTTAAGAACATATTTTCTGTATTCAGGAATTTTGTGGAGGCAGAGTGTAGCTTGAAGATACGTGGAAGGCAAAGGAATGGATTTAGTAAAGTCATACAAAGAAAGCAGTCCTTTGTTTTTCTTTCCATCTCCAGGAGTGAACTCATTTGAAGACATGGAGATCTAGGTAAGCTTCTTATTTGCTTCTGATGGAAGGATCATGCAGACATGTTTAACTAAAGAAAAAATGATCTCCCAACTGAAATGGACCACACAGAGCCATTTATGTAAACATACGAATATATGATATTTGTATTTATGCTTGTATGTATGTACCCATACATACATGAGCGCGTATGAGTTTATTTTCACTAAATAAATCAAAGCCCTCTAGAATGATCTGTCGTTAAAATGGAGTACACGTTACCATGGAAAAGTTGGCCAGGGTTTATTTTCAGCAGAAGATTCAAGTTCTAAATTTCTTCCACCCCCACCATATTCATAGTAAATTGGGTGGATGAAAAGTGTAAGGCCATAAGTGCTGCAGTGTGAAGAAATGTTTAGACTGAGCATTCCTCTGCTTGGCATAATGCAGGTTTTCTTTGTACTGTTTTCTACCTTTTGACTAGATGAGGGCCAGAGGGCAATTTTCTCCATGCTCATGTAATCTTGTGCCCCCTGTGACTAAATAATGGTCATTATACAAACTATACCCAATTGTATAGAGTTCTGTCGCTTTATACTTAGGATTACTATTCCCTACAGACAATAGTGAGAATACCAGGTTAATACAGCTGTGACCTCACTGCGCGCAATTTAAACCCAGGCTTCACAAGGTGAGAGACTTGTGCATTTACCCACTGAACCAATCAGTTAAAAAACTGATGTGATATCTACCACATGTTGCTCCCTTTTTTATAAGGGAATTGCTCTGTACCCCCTGTAAGAGTTTCTAAAGCTCAGTAACAATGCTGAGCATCTATCAAAATGTCAAAAGGTTCATTATCTTAAAACCAAGGGAACAGATTTCTGCAGGCTTTTTCTAATACCAGCAATAAGGCCACTGTTGAGAGCTCGCAATTTTGCTTGTTGAAATTCTAAGGGTTTAGTGAAGTGCTTCAGAAGAAGTAATATGCATTGCACAAGTGATAGTGAAATTAATGGGGGCATTATCATTCTTTTTCCTTTCTGCTTTGCTAATTTTCCGATCTCCTCCCCTTCTGTCATTCTCCCCCAATTATTTCTTTTACAGACAAAAAAGCTTCACTATAGACTCCAGAAGATTTCATATCTCTTCAGGACAAAGGCAGGAGATGGTTGCGGATGAGGACTTGATAAGGCTGCCAAGTATGGCCACTGGCTTCTTCTCCAAGTTGGTGGTATACGGCCTCTCTGAAGGCAACTGTCCACTCAGTTGGAGAGATGTTCCCAGATTACAAACAAAATGTGAAGAAGGTTACAGCAAAAGTTTTAAATGGCTAATAATATTGTTATTTTCACTCTTAATTGTAACAGGATAAACATTATATTAATAGACTGTATGCTATATTTTTCTTAATGTTATCCTTGCCCTCCCAGGAGGAGCAAGAGAGATAACACAGAAAGCCTCTGGTGAGTAGGTAGGGCTGTTCTCAGGGATATGCTTTCCACATGTAATTAGGAACTATAGTTCCATTCACTGGACAGTGATGGAGACCTTAATAAAATGGGTCTGACTAGCTCTTGGGAAGCTGTGTAATTACTATTGGAGAATTGCTCATCCAGATAGCAACAACAGCTCTGATCATCTCTGGAGCATTGCAAACTCTGCAGCAGACAAAAACCCCATGCAATGCCTTAGCAAACCAAATGACATATAAAGACAGTGTTAACAGGAGCACTGCAACTGTCAGTGCTACTGAAAGAAGGTAGCAGCAGTAGTAGAGGTAACATGCATGAAACAGAGTGCACAAAATTCCATCTAAACATAAGGAAAATCTTCTGTACTGTGAGGGAGACAAGCACTGAAGACTCCTCTTTGGAGATCTTCAGAAATCTCCTGGACATGAGCCTAGGCAACCTGCTCTAGGAGAACTGCCTGAGCAGGCTGTTGGACCAGATGGCTTCCAAAAGTTCCTTTTATCCCCAGCAATTCTGTGATTCTGAGATTCCCTCTTGCTAAAGCAACATTCCTTTGTCCAGAAATCATAGGAGAAATGCATATCCCATCCTTGATACTTAGAAGGTGATTACAGGTGATTTCCTCATCATCTGGATTTAAACTCAGCAACACACATTCAGCTCTCCACCAAGTTGTCAGCAATAAATGAGGAAATGGGCTGGACTCTGGGTACACTACTGACTGAAATAGCATTACCAAAAGGCCTTGTCATGCCAGAGAATCTGCAAACATGTGCAAACTGGCCTCATCATTCAACTACAGCTGAAAGAATTCTTTAACCAGATTTCATAGGAGTAAGCTACTTCAGCTGGCCTGAAAATGTCCTGGATTTTTCTATTGAATGTTGAGAAGTATTGTGAGAGCAAGAGCAGAGTTGATTTTTAGATCTATTTCAGTGTTACTCTGGGGACTAAACAAGAAAATGGGAAACCCTAAAAAGACAGCATTGCATATCTGAAGTCACAGGAATAAATGGGAAATAAACTCATCTCTGCATGAATGAATGTAACCTGTATGAAAATGCAGGTGTCACTGGGCCACTGCCACAGCATGTGACATGAAAGTCTCTTTCCATCCCTTCATTCCTTTTTCCACGTATCAAGGGACAATTTGGGAACATCCTCCTAACATACTCCTATGCTCTTGTGATTAAGTGATGCAGTAGTCATCAAGCAAGGCTGATATTCCTACTCTTTGGCTGGTGTGTGTGTGGAGTTTTAATTCCTCTTCCACTGCATGGAGAGAGAAGACAGGTCAATCATTTTTTTGCACAGCAGTGAAGATACTTAGCTGCAATTTGAGTTAAATTATTAGTTCTGTAACAAAAAGGTATAGATTGTGGGCTAGTGAATGGGTGGAACTCGCACACCTCCATTTTAAATCTTGATATTTCCATCATTTCCTAGTCGGTGATTTGGAGTCAAATTCTTTACATTTATAAAGAACTTCTCCTATCTGTCAGTGGCATTCCATTCACTTTGTATATTAAGAATATTGAAGATTCTGATGTGGTATGAAACATTTTTTATATATGCTATAGATAGCTGTAAACATTTCCCTTTGCCTAGCACTTCTTCAGTCACACTCCTGGTATGTATCGGTCATGTTTTGTCTTAGGCCTCATGTTCTACGGAGAATTTAAGTTACATTCAAGTGCTCTACCACTTTACACTTATTTTTATATGTGAGTAATGCCGCTATATCACTCAACTCTAGGTTTATAATTTCATTAGGTTCAAAATCAAGGCTAAGGATAACAAATGTATTTGTTATCTCACTATAAGCCTACTGGTTGTTTTCCAGCAGAATATTTTGTGTGGCAGCCAAGGGGCTAGGAACCTTGGAAAAACTCCTTGAGCAATACAGTGAAGAAAGTCACTCTGATTTCCATGTCTTCGTTAGTGCTGAACCAGCACCAGCCCCAGAAGAGCACTTTGTTTTTCAAGGAGTACTTGAAAACTGGATTAAAATTACCGGAGGAGCTCCAGCAAGGATGCAACTAATCTATACGCTGCCCTCTACAGTTTTGACCAGGTAAAAACAAGATGGACTTTTTTCATTCATGTTTTATTTACTCCTTCCTCTGTGGGGAGAATTGATGGTGTTGATGACTAACGTGTAGCAGACCAGAACTTTGGGGTCTTTTTGCTAGCTTCTGTTTCCAAAGTAAATGGAAGGCATGTGGTACTGTCTGCCACGTGCAACCTCCATGTTTTCCATTCATTTTGGGGGGAAAGTTGTATTAATAGTACATACATACACATTAAATATCTAGGTATGGATGTACATAGCTATGTTTATAAAGATAGACAAAAAGGTATGTTTATTGTACCAGCTGTACCCAGTGGCACAGTCTCATCAAAACACTTGGCCATGGTCTTCCATTTGATGGTACCCGCTAATTTTGTTTGGCTCTTAGTTATTGCTAGGTTAGACCATATCCATTCTCACACAGAATAGATTTATGCATCCAGATATTCTGTCATTGCTGCAGTACCCTATGTATGAATTCTTGCAGTTAGGCATAAAGAAGGGAATTTATGAGCAAAAGGTTACGTACTGCTCGCTGTTTTGTCTTTCACTCTTCTCCTGTGTGAGCACTGCTTGATAGAAGGAAGTAGGCAAAGAAAGAGGTAGAAATACAGAAGACCTGGATGGGCTCTGCCTACTTCCCTCTAAGACCCTGGTTCTTCTTACTCTGAGGAACTTATAGACAGATCTTCACATTTGGTGCCAGTCAGCTGTGGAGTAGCAAGTTTCATGTCAGAAAATCATACCATGATAACAGCAAACAAAATAATTTACTTTAGCCACCTAGTAAAATATTTGGGCTTCTCAGGACAGTTGTCATGGAACCAAGCCTGTCAGAGCTCAAGAAGCATTTGGACAACGTAATGAGAAATACAGGTTGAATTTTGGGTGGTCATGTGTGGAGCCAGATGTTGAACCCCATTATTCTCGTCCATCCTTCCAACCCTGGAGATTCACTAATACTATTAGCACGTCTTTATGTGTACATAGGATACATGAAGGCAGAGCCTGGATGCAAGCAGGGTGAGAGTTTCTTCTAAAAGAAGCTCTGTCAACCAGCCTGAAAAAGCAGAGCTGTGCACTAAAGGAGCTGTGTCACAACTGCTGTAGCTACAAAGGCATCAATTATGGCAGTATGAGAATAGCTGTAGTTTTGTGACTAAACAGATATCTTCTACTGCTGTTGTACACATCTACTGATGTTTTTCCTTTTTTATATACATAAGTTATTATAGCAATGCTTTTAATGGAAAGCTGAAAGAAAATGCTGGACAAAATGTTTAATAAAAGCAACCCATATGCATTATTGTCCCACTTCAGACTATTTTCAGTTCAAAAAATACATATGTGTGTTTTAATTAGCTTATTTCTAAGCTTGGTACTTTGGGAATCACTCTCACTCCTTTCTCCTCCTCCCCCTTGTTTCAAGCCATTGGTGTTTGAAACTTACTGCAAGTTCCCATGCAGACATTATACTTAACACATCTCTTGTCAAGGTATTCTAATTCTTTGGAGGAAAAAACAGTACTGAGAAAATGAAACTACACATTAGCTAGGTGGAATAAATTTCAAATTTCATGTTTAGGATAGAAGCTTGTCTTGGATTTTTAATGGTTAAACTCAAGATGGTGACTTGAGTATAGGCTTTTTTTTGTTGGACAGAATCTTCACTTTTGCTCAGACTTTGCAACCTGTTGTTCAGTTAACAATGACTTGTTTACTTTTGGCAGCCAAGAGTTTATCCCTCTGAAGTTTCTACCACACATCTAAGTCTCTATGGGTATCAAAAGTCAGATTTGTTATGTCTGGTTTTTTTTAAATTAAAAGGTAGAACATAGAGAACTGTCAAGGAGTCAAGAATTAATTTCTGCAAGATTTATGGGGAAATGCCAAAATATCTCAATAATTTTAAGACCAGCTAGAAATCTTCACAGAATTTTGCTCAGTTTTTGCCACTACTACAAACAACCAAAAGCAAAAAAAAAAAAAAAAAAAAAAAAAAGATTAAATTTCACTTTCAAACATGACTTTTTCAGAAATGGTGTAAAATCTGAAGGAACAATATGTTTTTCATAAAATGTCAAACTTGCATATTTTCTACCTGGAATGAAGCCTGTGGGTGGCTCATGCAAAGAAACGATAGTGGTTTTTATTGACTACTTAATTTCTCTATATTTATTAGTTTCAGTTGTTCAAAGATGTAATTCCTAAGGGATGGTTGTAAATAAAAAGGTAACCATCAACAACTTTGCTTCTGGGAAGTACTGCCCCAAACACTGTGTCGTAGTTGCTCACCTTTGTTTCTCTCTCCTCCAAACCTCAGGCCAGTGTGTGTTCCCTTTCAGCAGCTGTGGCAGGCACAGCTATCAATAACACTCCTGGCTGTTAAGTGGATAAATGTATTCCTTTTTTTCCTTTGGCAGGATACCCTTGAACTGTGTGACAAAGAACCGGAGTTGAAGAGCATCCTTTTCTCTTTTTGTTATTTTCAAACTCATGAATCTCCTAGCCTTCCGGGCTGCAAACATAGATATACCCATTCAATTCTAGAGATCTCACTGTTTGCATCAGAGTTCTCTGTAACTATTTAGCCAATCACAGAGAGGTCAGACACAGTGGTCAGTTAAATGCACACCAAGGTTAGTTTGTCTCAGTCAGTTGTTCGTACTGAATAATGGGGATATAGTTTTTCTCTGAAGCAGTTATTTAAATATCTGGCATTATGAGGTTCTGTTGCTGAGAATGAAAATAAACCAGATCAAAGCTTCTTCCTTTTTTTTTTTTTTCCTAGTGGTGGGTGCCTGAACTTTATAATCTAGGTCAAACCAGTTCCACATCAGTAGCTAAGGGGGAAAAAAATGCCCTTCATTATGTTAACAAAAACAGTGGTTTACATGTGCATATATGCCAAATTCATTAGGCAGGTAATGAAGCATTTGCACAAATGTAATTACATAGAGCAATTCTGACAGTTCATAACACTGCATTAATAATCACTACAATTAGTTCTGATGATGGAAGCAATTTACAGCGCGTCACATGTATAAATAATGGTGCATTTCCTGCATGTGTCATTATTATGTATTAAGGATGCCACCTTGTTGTGACTTTCTCAGTAATGTTCCCCTTGAGTCGAAGTTAAGGGTAGATGAGTGATTTTATTTCTGAGCTACAGCATATTTTACACTTGTGTAGTTTAAATACTCAGTTGAGGTCATTTATGTAAGTTCTGTAAATGCAGTGTCTAAATAATTGCAATAATTATTTGCTGCTGAATAATGTGGTTAGTATGGAACAGGTCCTCCTGTGGTCAGAATTTAATGAAATATCAGAGATATTTATAGCTTTAAAGAAAAAAAAAAAAAAGAAATATTACCCCTTGGTGATATGCTTTCCTCTGTATCTCCTAACTTGCATTTACTCTTAGAAATTAATTTTCCTTTTTAATTTTTCCCCTACTGACCTTTTTTGGCTAATAGGACATGAAACTGGTTTTCCTTTCTGTAGTACTTGGTGTCACTTTGAAATAATTGTTTAATTTTATGGTGATGATTTAATAATGTTTCTCATTTAGAAAACAAGTCTTTAAAATCAGCTGATTCCAACTTTCAGTTCTCTTTGCTATTAATCTTACCGCTCTTTAAGCTTAGTTCTTTTTAAACCATACTTCATAAGCTTGATAATTAATTCTGCTAATTAAAGAGAAGGAGGATTCTGATGGCAGGAAGGACTAGAAAGGTCTGTAAGAGCAAGAATTATTTCAGCTCTCCCTTTGGTAATAATGCTTACTGGCCCTTTTCATTGTAGAGGTTAGTGATTCATTACACTGTGGCTTTATCAGCATTTTTTAACATAGATATTGTAGAGAGAAGAGTGAAAGACTTTCCTAAATGCAACTTCATATGCAAATGCACATGTGCATATGTATGTGAATACATATATATTGATATAGCTCCCAGTTTGGTACCCTTCGGTAACAAACTTGTTTCATAGAAGTAGGGATTGAGCAGAGTAGCAGAAATGCTGAGTCACAGCTTGAACCAGTGATTGAGCACCTGGTGGGAAGGCAGGGCCAAAACCCAGAGGAGATCACATGCAAGCAATGCTTCTCAATGACCGGAAGGGTTGGAGCCAGGATCCATCCCTTCCCAGACTTCATTTAAAGGTTGGCAGTGGAGGCAAGGGTATCTTGCTGGAGGTTCCTATCTACCTGAGACCTTACAAAGGTAAGCACATTTTCTTCTTTTTTGTTTCTGCATCCACAGCTGCTGTACAGGGTTTGTTCTCATATGCTGCAGCCTCGGATTGTGCCACCCCACTATTATTGCAGTACCTACCATCACATTACAACCAGGAATAATAGACTAGAAAGCATTAGCTAGCCCATCAGCTACTGCAGAGTTTCCCATCTCCTGTCATTATTGGCATCAGTTTGTGCTGTGAATTAATACTTAACATTCTTGCATCTCAGTTAGACTTAACACTTTTTCCCACTGCAAAGATGAATTCTGCCATACTCAACACTGGCAACTAAGGTGAAGTGTCCTCACTTCAGTGTCCCACTTTTTCCCTCCACTGCATTGTCCATGTATGCACATACATGGAGCTGTTTGGTGTTGAGGGGGATGTGAGCTCTACTCTCTGTATTCATCCAGTGAGCAATGGTTTAGGCCCTTCTGAATAGAAACAGACCAATTTTTCATAATTACAACAGCAGTTATGCAAACCTGACAGCCCAAATAATTTCTAATACAAAGCCCTCACTTTTCTTGCAGCAGTGAAAATGTCCCTCTTATGAGCTTTGATTATTCCCATGTAATCAACGTTTCTAAAGGTACGTGTCTGAATGAGCCTTACAGAGTCAGAATACTGACACACTTTTCCAAAATACAAAGGGAAGCAACCATTCCTTTAGAGAAATATATTTTAAATGTAAAAAGCATTATGTGTGCTTCTATTGCTGACCAAGAGGCGCAAGCTTATTCTGACAGCAAAGAAGTCCCATTTTTAGCCAAAGTTGTTGGTATTTTTCACAAGGCTTAGGCTTCTCATCACCAGTGTGTGACATTGCTCATTATGTCCTGGTGGCCTTTTTTTCTACCTTTCTTCCTTTTTTTCCCCCTCCATTCTCTTCCACTCAATTTAAAAGAAAGATGGATTCGAGTCTCACATATTCCAATTGAAATAAAGTTGCAGCAAGCATACTGGCATAGCAGCAGCTATTTTACGTGTTCTGTTCTGTCATATCATGTAATATTTAAAGCCTATAATTAAGTTTTTACTTGAACTGTTGGGAGGCAAATACTGCCCCCAAGGGCGTAAGGGTTCCTGTTTGGAAAGGCTTCATCATAAACTGGCATATTTTGCAAACCAAAGGGTAGCAAAAAGAAGCTTCAAACTCTGTGAAGCCAAATGAAGCAGAAAGACAGTAGTTCCTTGAATAAAATGTGTTACTGCTGCTAATCACAAAGCCTAACAGCAACATTATGGCTGGAGTTCTACAATAAACATAATGCTTATGTGATGTGGTAGCAATGGGATTAATATTAGTTCAATTTTTACTGAATTTTTTGAATAAATCCCAAATTCAAATGAAGTAGAATTTCAGTTACTTGGTGTTTCCTAGTGAGGCAATATAAAAGGCTGCAATCAGATACAAGTTTTTTTTATTTGTCCTCTAAGAAAGGCACAGTAGGTTACCTTCCTGTCACTCGTGAGGATTATGTTTTTAAAGATCTGCATGGGAAAATACATTCACTTGCTAATGAGTTATTTTCTCTTATACCATGCAGTGTTTTGAAAATGTACTTTTCTCCTTAAAGATTTTTAGGAGGTATAAGTTAGAAAATATAACATTAGGCTCAGATGAGACTGCTTTACACCATCAGACAGTTATAGTCATAAATTTGATATTATTGCTCAAGTATTTATAGGTACCTCTTGCTGGATTGAAAAAAAAATAAATAATAATAGCAAGAAAGCCAGGAAATCTGTACTTCAGTGCAGTTATGTCTGAAACAACAACAAAAAACAGCAGTGAGAATACTTAACTATGAAGCTTTGTGGAAGGAAATACTGGATTTTTTGTTTGTTTGTTTCTCATAACAGTATTTATTATGAGAAGCTTTGATTTTATTCTTTTGAAAACTGATGTTGTTTCACCTAATGATCTTGGGTACATTCACACAGAATCACAGAATCACAGAATCACCTGGGTTGGAAGGGACCTCAAGGATCATGTAGTTCCAACCCCCCTGCCTAGCAGGGCCACCAAACGTACACATTCAGATCAGGTTGCCCAGGACCCCATCCAACCTGGCCTTGAACACGTCCAAGGACGGGGCATCCACAACCTCCCTGGGCAGCCCGTTCCAGGGCCTAACTACTCTCCTTGTGAAGAACTTCCCCCTAACATCCAACCTAAATCTTTCCTCCTTCAACTTTGATCCATTTCCCCTAGTCCTGCTGTTGTCAGCCCTTCTGAAGAGTTTACTCCCCTCCTGGGTGTAGGTTCCCTTCAGGTATTGATAGGCTGCAATGAGGTCACCCCGCAGCCTTCTCTTCTCCAGGCTGAACAAGCCCAACTCCCTCAGCCTGTCCTCATAGGGGAGGTGCTCCAGCCCCCTGATCATCTTAGTTGCCCTCCTCTGGTCCCTTTCCAAGATCTCTATGTCTTTCTTGTACTGAGGGCTCCACACCTGGACACAGTACTCCAGGTGGGGCCTCACAAGAGCCGAGTAGAGAGGGACAATCACCTCCCTGTCCCTGCTGACCACCCCTCTCCTGATGGAGCCCAGGATCCCATTTGCCTTTCGAGCTGCCAGAGCGCACTGCTGGCTCATGTTAAGTCTCTCGTCCATCAGGACCCCGAGGTCCTTCTCTGCCGAGCTGCTCTCAAGGACCACTTCTCCCAGCCTGTACGGGTGCCTGGGGTTCTTCCGGCCCAAATGCAAAACCTTGCACTTTGCCGTGTTGAACCTCATTAGGTTCACCCGAGCCCAGCCCTCAAGCCTGTCGAGGTCCCTCTGAATGGCATCCCTTCCTTCCACCGTATCAACCGCACCACTCAGCTTGGTGTCGTCAGCAAACTTGCTGAGGGTGCACTCAATTCCTTCATCGATGTCATTAATAAAGATGTTAAAGAGCACCGGTCCCAAGACAGACCCTTGGGGGACACCACTTGTTACCGGCCTCCACCTGGACATAGAGCCATTGACCACCACCCTCTGTCTGCGGCCTTTCAACCAATTGCTTATCCATCGGGTCGTCCACCCATCAAATCCACTTCCCTCCAATTTGGAGATGAGGATGTGGTGGGGGACCATGTCAAAGGCCTTGCTCAGGTCCAGGTAAATGACATCGGTCGCCTTCCCTTCGTCCACCAATGCCGTCACTCCATCATAGAAGGCCACAAGATTAGTCAGGCATGACCTTCCCTTGGTGAAGCCGTGCTGGCTGTCTCGGATCACATGCTCATTCTTTATGTGATCGAGCATGTTGTCCAGGAGGATCTGTTCCATGATCTTCCCAGGCACGGAGGTGAGACTCACCGGCCTGTAGTTCCCCGGGTCCTCCCTGCTCCCCTTCTTGTATATGGGAGTGACGTGACCCTTCCTCCAGTCATCCGGGACCTCACCTGACAGC